AGAGAGAGAGAGAGAGAATTATGTATAGATGTCCTGGTGTAGGCCTAGAAGAAGGGCCCTTATTCTTATTTAGAAGAGGGCACTTTCTGCTTGCCAAGACTTTCAACTCAGGAATTACGTTTGCATAGAAGAGGCTTCTCTTTCAATGTATCTCTCCAGCTGAGAGTGAAGAGATGGTTTTTAAACCTTACACAAAAACGCCTGTAGCATAGAAGTTGTATATTAGAAATCACACGTGGGCAGATCATATGAGCAGAAGGAATATTGGTGAGTGTAGGGAACTGTAAGAGAGTGAGGTTTTGTGGGTTTTTTTGGCAGAACCGGGGATTGAACTCAGGATCTTGCGCTTGCCAGGGAAGCGCTTAATCCACTGAGCCATCTCCCCAGCCAATTAAATGGAATAAGGATATTTTTTTCCTCCGAATGCCTTCAGGGCAGGTTTGGCTGGCTGGAGTATTGTGGGGATGGAACTCCAGCAACCTGAGGCTGACAGCTTTGTGGAAGTAGCCACTTAAAGAGCTAAGCTAGGGCCAGGCCCCCAAGTGCGAGTTTTATGATCAGAGTTCTTTTATGAAACCAAATTAATAGCTTCAACAATGAAATAATGACACAAATGTATCATTTATGCTACCTTGTTTACATCACATACTCAATGATTAATTACAAATTGTGCGATTTTGGTGAGTTTTGTCATCTTATACATAGATATCTACAAGTTATTCATAGCCTGGAGTTCTATTTCTGTATGCCAGCTTTAACATTTTCACGGCTCTATACATATTTTAATTCCTGAAGTGTGTGTGTGTTTCTTCTGTATCTTTTGAAGATACAGAGTTGTCGCCAACATTAAATGTTAGAAATAACCTCAGAAAAAAAGGTAAGAAGCAGAGGTGGGATTAGAAAACATAGATGTATTTTTAAATAATCATTTATCAGAACAGTGATGCAGTAACAAGAAGAAAAGTAAAGAGGGTGAACAGGTAAGTTGAGCAATAAATTTCCTTTTTTAAAAGCCAAGGTTAGTTTTCTACTTCTTACAAAAACCAAATAGAGAACAGAAACTTTACTTTCAGTGAAATAAAAATAAATAAAAAAATCAGTGTTTATTGAGGAATATTGAAAAAATTACTGTCTTAAATTTTATGGGTTGAAAAAGCAGTGAAAGTTTTCAATATATATTAACTTAATGACAGTATACCTTCAAGGAGCATTGAGTCACTTCACAGCATAATGTCTTAGTTAGTGTTCTATGGATATAATTTCTATGTACTTTTTTACATATGATGTAATATTTACTACACTTATTCTTTTTCCTATTTTCACTATTATTTTTATTTATTCAATTACCTTTTAGAATAATTGAAAATAATCCTCAGTTTTAGCTCTTCTGGATTTTTTGTTCCCTTATGCAAATCCTCATTTCTATCTGGTATAAAGAATTGAAACTCAAAGAATTTCCTCTAACATTTCCTTTGGTTCAAGTATTCCAGTAATTGTCGGGGAAAAAAGAAAACATTCTATTTCTCTTTTACTTTTGAAAGATTTTTACAGAGGGCATAGAATTGTGGGTTGATAGGGTTTTTTTTCTCCTTTCAGCACTGTAAAGATATGACTCCATTGTCTTGTGGTTTACATAGTTTCTTTGGTCTCCTGTTATTCTTATCTTGTTTCATCGCAGTTTTCCTCTGGCCCCTTTTACGACTTTTCTCTTCATACTTGCTATTCAGAAGTTTAAATATGTAGCATGTACAGTTTTTTGTTATTGTGAGTGTGTGTGCCTGTGTTTGTAGAATATTTGTCAGTGATAATATCAAGCCAGGATTAAAGACTCTTGGCGTTATCAGAACTTCTTGGATATGTAGTTTAACATTGATTATTATTATTATTATTATTATTATTATTGTATGGAAGGTCTCAATTTTTACCTTTTTAGGCATTTCTTCTGCTTTGTTCTCTTTTTCTCCTGTAAATCCAAAGTCATGTATGACAGACCATTTAATATTCTCCCACTGCCCTTGTATGCTCTGTTTTGAAGTGTGTGTGCTTTCATTTTTTTCTTCATGTTTCAGTTTGTATGATGTTTTTTCATATCTTTAGTTCTTTGAAGTTGAATGATGTGAATGCTAAAAGTATTCTTCAACCCTTTCACTCTTCATTTTTAGCATTTCTGCTTGAAATATTTATAGTTAACATCTTTGCTGAAATTCTGCATTTGTTAACGTATGCTTTTCATATTTTCACAAAGGCTTTCATGTATCATAGTTTTGTTAAATTATGTGTCTCATATTTTCAACATCTAAGTCATCTTTAAGGATGTTCATGTTGATTGCGTCACCTCTTGAAAGTGGGCTTCTTATCTTGTCTTTTTAGGCATCTCAGAATTTCATTTTGAATGCCAGATGTAATATACAGTATAGTCCACATTGAAAGAGTGTTTGTGCCACAAAATGGGCTAATTTATTAGTTAATGTGAGAGTTTGAGTCAATTTAAAATGCGACAAACTGGGTTATTTTGTTGAGGTGGTTACTCTCAGTTTACTACCATCATCAGATTTCTATATTTCCTTGTGCTTAGAATGGGGGGAGATGGTTTTATAGTGTTGGGGGGAGATGGTTTTATAGTGTTGTTGTCAATATTCGTGCTTTAGTCTCAACTTTAGACATTCCTTGTCCTTGTGTGCCCCTGAAAGCTTATTTCTCTGTGCTCTGGCCTTCTAGGGTGTATATTTCTGTTACTTCTTACTAAGTGCTCCTTAGCTTGTTGGTACCCAGCAAGGAGTCCTCTATTTTCCAGAATCAATTTTAGTCTTAATAGAACTTATGCCACTGGATCATGGAAGGTGGGGCTTTTGTAGTTATCCTGCCTCTCTCTTAATGGCAGGATACCAGCTCAGAACTAATTATTACCCTTGGAAGTAGAGGGCTTTCCTCTTTGCCATATTCCAATTGCCATAGATCTTCATCAGTGCCACGAAATGACTAAGATTCACTACCTTTCTCTCTAGGTTTATGACTTACACTCCTTACACCAAAAGAAGTGGACCTGGTTTCATGCCTTTTCCAATGTGCTGGCTTCGCTCCATTAGATCTGAAATATAAATCCATCCAGAAGAGTGTGTGTGTGTGTGTGTGTGTGTGTGCACAAGCATAAATTTCTCCTGTCTCTGGCTATCAAGGTTTAGGTACTGTCATGCCACGTCTGGATTTTAGCAACTTGTTTACAAATAATTGCATTCTTTATGGCTGCTTCTTTGATGACTTTGGTTCCCTTGCAGCCACAGGTGAGCCAGTATTTGTGTTCCATCCATCCCTCTTTGCAGGAACCTGTTTTTCTTCACACTTTATACCAGTTGGTTACTTTGATGTATCTGTCTAGATCAAAGAAAAGTGAGAATTTGTAGATTATTCAGCAGAAGCAAGAAGTCCATGTCCATTCCTTTTAACTGAATCTTCTACTATTACATTAGATTCTGAGTTATTGTGAAATTCCTAAAGAGTTTCATGTAAACCTAGTCATATCTGGAGTTAGAGAATACTATTATAATATTTCCAAAGCAGAAAACTGTGCCACACTAGGCAGATACATACTGCTTTATTTACATGAGAAAGATTTCCCTCTGTCATTCAATGATTTGAAACCCTTTTTCCTACCTCAAATTAATTTCCTGTGTAAAACATGTTGGGTATAGGGGCACTGTGTATTGTTGTCTATATTGATGTCATCCTTACTGGAAATAATTTGACATATGTAATAAACAATTTTAACATATTCATACTTGTTTGGAAATATATGGTAACATCTCAGATGTA